ATGAATTTTTGAGCATATGAGATATCGAGGATGCGAGAGGACACGGTACACGGATGTTCTTCCATACAAAATATAAGAAAAATGAGTATGTATGCCATTAGATTGACAAGTACCTGGGATGGTGCAATTACTTAAATGCAATGCAAGCATTTCATTATGTTCTAGTGTCCGGTGCAGATCCTCCATAGCCAAACAGTTCAAGAGATTTCAAGAAAAAAAATTTTGAAAAAATCAAAGTCAATTGACTAAACAAAGACTTAAAGGGCCAAAATGCATCAAAGCGGACAAACTGATCCAAATCATACTCAACCCAACAATCATCTAATCGATCAAAGACAAGGACTCAACGTTAAAGAGTTTTCAATATTATGGAATGATAAAAAGGACATGTAGCCAAGTACACTCCATAAAATTTACACCCTTGGAATCCTACAGACTAATGCAGAATTGAGTACTTCAAAGAAATGCCAAGCTGGGTATGAAAGCCCTTCAGAGTCCCCTACAGTCTAAGGTTGTATTTTTTTTTTTTTGTCCTTCATAAAAAATGAAAACAAACTAAGAAAGGCTAAATATGCAGGAATCCTGCAGCATCGCTCAAAAGAGTAGAACACAGCCCAGCTGGTCGTTGGGAGAGATGAAAGGTTCTGCCATTACTGGTCCAATCGGGAAGGAGTGTGCTGATTTGTGGCCCAGGATTGCAAGTGGTGCGAATGCCATTGTTTAAGATTCTCAACTGTGACATCTAGTTCCTTTGCATTGTTCAAACCATACTCTATTACTGAAATTTTGCACTGTCTAGTTTCTGTTTGCCCAGGATGCCATTTTGATTGTCTTGAATTACTACATTTCAAATAACGGTGTGTTTGCTTAATTTCATTCAGGATAAGCTTTCATCAATGAGTTTATCGTTTTTCATCCATTATCATAGATGTTTTTCAAAGGTTTCAGTGATGCTACTCTTCTTCTTTATTGTAATTTTCATTCTTTCAAGGTAGTTAATGTGATTTTTCCTTTAAGGAGTTGTATCCATTTTTCCATATTCATGTGAAGGCCTGGTGGCCTGTGATTTGTGTGGGTTAACAACAACTTTAAGTCTTTTTAGGCCCATTTTATAATGAAATTGAACCCATTTTTTTGGGTCATCTCCAACCCACCAAATGGAGAATAGCCATCATTTTCTCTTTAATTCCCCGGCCATTTTTTCTATATTTTAGTTGTTTGCAGGGGTTACATCCTGGAGCAGTGGAGTCATGGCTCGTGGGACCCATTTAAGTTTGGAAAGGTGGAGACGACGCTTGGACACTCTTTTTACCACTTTATTATTGTATGAGAAATGTTGTATATTTTTATTTTTATTTCAAATGGAAGCGATTGATAAATATCTAATATGAAAGATTTTCTCTTACTTTCTTCTTGCTCTCTCTCTTTTTTTCTTTTTTCCTTTTTTTTTTTTGTTTAACACAAAAATAGGGAAGGAGAATACTAAAAGGAAAATGAAATAAAATGAACATTGCATTTTTTTTGTTTGATGAATCAAAATTTAGTATTAAAAAGAGTACAAGGGTATTCACCCATATACTACAAAAAAAGGAGAAAGCATGAAAATTAAGATTCTTCTGCACAAAGAGCTAGAAACCAAAGCAAAACATAACAGAGGAAGAATTCCCTTTAATCCAGTCAAAAGTTTTTTATTAAACTTAATCTACCAAATTATTCTCATCCCAAGAAAGTTTACCAAAGAGACTATCATTCCTGAGGAGCCAAATGGACCATGCTGTTGTTAAAATGTCAAAATTCAACAGTTTCTTGCCTTTCTGTTGTTATTGTCAGTGCCATAATATGTCTGATGCATTATCTGGAGGGACAAAAGAGAGCCCCCACCAGCAATAGATTCTACTCTAGAGGTTTTGGGATCGCCAACACTTAGCAAACACATGATTAACATTCTTGATGAATTGGAGTGCCTACACCAATTTGTATCCGAAAGGAAAAGTGATTAGTGTAATATTTAATTCATTATATTCGTTAATATTTATTAGTTTAATCATTAAAATTTAAAATTTAAAATTTAAACTTTTTTTTTATTTTTAATTTAAATTTAAAAATAATAATTTTTAATAAATGTATTCTGAATTGTATTTAATTGAAATATGTCTTTATCAATATCTATTCAAAAATACTAACCCTTTCTTTAAAACTTGAACTAACTCAAACTATTTTCCATATAGAGTTCAGTATTTCTTTATTGGTAAATCCAACATTAATGTTTAGTTCAATGCATTTATAAATATATAAAATATCAATAAAAGCTTAGTTAAATTACTACATATTAATTTAAATACTTTAGTTAAGAAACACTGGTGGACTCTTTTAAAAAAAAAACTAGCTAGCTAGAAAGGTCAAAACTTATCTTTGGGAGGTTGGATCACGCTCTTAAACTTTGCGCTGTCTAGCCTACCCGTCTACCTGATGTCAGCCTACAAAATCCCCAATGGTATTCTCTACTCTTTAGATAAAATATGTAGGAGTTTTTTTATGGGCTGGGGTTGGGGAGGAGAAAAAAATCAATTGGGTTAGTTGGGAGAGGGTTTGCATGAAAAAGGAGTGTGGAGGTCTTGGAGTGAAGGACTTGAGAAAATTTAGTTTGGTGTTGTTGGGTAAATGGTGGGGACGGTTAGCAAAAAGTGAAGAAGGGTTATGGAGGAAAGTGATAATAGGTAAATATGGGGAGAGTAGAGGGCATTGGTTTGATTGGGTGAGAGATAGTAGAGGTGGAGGATCAATATGGTGGAGAGACATCCAAAATCTCAATGTTGGTGACAGGGGGAATGCTGGATGGTTGATGGAGGGATTTAGGATTAAGCTTGGTGAGGGGGAAGGAGTGAGCTTCTGGTGGAATGAGTGGTGCGGGGAGAATTGCTTGGCTAATAAATTCCCTAGATTGTATGTCTTGTCTACAAGTAAGGACAAAGAATGCCATCAAATGGAAAGGGCACACATCGGCACATGGAAATGGAACTTGACATGGAGAAGACCTCTGTACTAGTGGCAAGATGAGGCTGCAAAAGAACTTCAAAAGACAATTGAGAAAGTGAAAATCTCCCCAGGGTGTGCAGACAGATGGGAGTGGGTACACATCACTGATGGAAAATACTCAACGGCAATAGCTTATGCAATATTAGCAAAACAAAGGAGGGGAGCAGAGGAAGCAAAAATGTACAAGCGAGTATGGAATCCTAGTCTCCCAACTAAAGTTGCTACATTCAATTGGAAGGTACTACTTGATAGAATTCCAACCAAGCTAAATTTGTTTAAACGCGGAGTCATCAAAGATTGGGACGAAAAGAAATGTGTTTTGTGTGAAGAGGAGGAGGAAAAGAAATGTGTTTTGTGTGAAGAGGAGGAGGAAGACTCCAATCATTTATTCTTGAATTGAAAAATAGTTAGATGGTTGTGGAAGGCTTGCGCAAACTGGTGGGGTATCACAGTAGAACTACAAAAAGAATGCTGGAAAACGTTTCAACACTTTGGGGCATGGACCAAAACGTCACACAAAAGAGAAGGGTGGGATTGCATTTGGAATGCAGTAATATGGTTTGTGTGGATGGCACAAAACAAAAAGATTTTTGACAATTCAGAGGAAAACTCGATCAAACTTTTTGAACTTATTCAATTAAAATCTTTTGCATGGATTAAAACTAGGAAAGACAAGTGTTATTTCAATCTATCAGACTGGTTAATTAACCCTGCTTCATGTCTTATTAGAGCGAAGTAGGAAGGGTTTGAAAGAAGGTAGTAACACTTACAAGATTATTTTTGTACACTGATGGGATCGTTTTTTGTACATGTAAAATGGTTTGAGTACCCCTTGTATTTAGGATAGTAATGGAAATTTTTTTATGTTCAAAAAAAAAAAATACCTTAGTTAAGATCAAAATTAAAAATTCAAACCTCTATACCACTAAACACTAACTTTTTCAGCATACAAAAAGATAAACACATAAAATTGTCATTTTTAATTTATTTAGATAATAAATTCATTTTTTTAAGCGGTAGTGCAGTATCTGGTTCCATTGAATTTAAAGCTGCTTCATAAAATCTTAAGCCAAACCTTTCTCTGTTTGGCTCTTACTGCATACAAGATGGAGGATGCCAAACGGTCACTTCTCTCCCCTAGTGAAGACGACAACAGACTCCAAGACCACCTCCTCATATCAACCACCTCCATCTCCTCCACTACCTTCACCGCCAGCA